ATAAGAGGATGAGACTGGCACCTCCCTGAGGAATTCACAATGTTGTGGCTGGCATTACTGGGGAGCTGGGGTTTCAGTCTGGGAAGATTCTTGCTAGAGGTTGTAGCCAATAAACATTGCTGGACTGAATTTACATGGTTTCCTGGAGTTCCTTGGGCTAGGCCTGATATCGATATTTGTGGTTAACTTCACTGAAAGGACCTGCACATGGAAAGTGCCTTCAACCATTGGAACAATATGGCTTTTGGCATGTAAGAGTTCAGTTGTAGAGTCTCCATGTGCAGGTGACCAAATCCATGGATTCTGAGGTGGTCCTACTGCAGGCACATCTTAGTAGTCCCGCATCAGCTGACTGTAGGGGCATCTATGATATTTAAGATCCTGAAGCCGGTCTAGGAGATAGTGCTCAGCTTGGCTTCTAGCTGTTATTTTCCTCCCAGCTTCCACCTGCAGTGCCTGTAGCACCAGTCTACCCAAGAATGCGTTTGGGGTCCTTGGCCCCCTTAGCTGACTTTGGACCCTCCCCTCCTCCACTAACATAACACCTTGGCCTTCAGAATCTGCTCCATGTTGGAGGCCACGTCATCCAGTTCTAGCTTCAGCTCGCTCTTCTCCTTCTCCAGCTTCTGCTTCACACGCTGCAGGTTGTCGATCTGCTCGCCCAGCTCTGCCGCAGAGTCAGCGTGCTTCTTGCGCAAGGTGGCCGCTGTGGCCTCATGCTGCAGGGTGGCCTCTTCCAGGTCACGCCGCATCTTCTGGAACTCGGCCTCCCGTTTCTTGTTCAGCTCCATCTGTACTGGGTTGGCTCCTCCGGCCTCCTCCAGCCGCTCGCTGATTTCCTCGAGTTCTCGCGAAAGGTCAGAGCGTTGCTTTTCTACCTTGGCGCGGGCTGCGCGCTCTGCCTCCATCTCCTCTTCCAGCTCTTCAATCCGTGCCTGAGTGATGGGAAAAAGATTGATCTCGATATCCTTCCATTATTTAAACTCTTCTAGATGTATGCAAGATGGAGTATGTATGTGCGGGCTGATAAATCAATGACATGAGCATAACTTCTGAAAAGGAAAAGATGGCCCATATCTTTAGACCAGTGTTTCTCAACCTTAAAGTTTCTCAACTTTAAGACGTGTGGATTTCAACTCCCAGAATTCCCCAGCCTGCAGCTGGCTGGGGAATTCTGGGAATTGAAGTCCACACGTCTTAAAGTTGCCAAGGTTGAGAAACACTGCTTTAGACCATCATTAAACCTCTTCAGATTTTGCAACCTCATCCTTAATGAGATGATCTTGCAGAACAGTCCACCAAAATCTTGCATGGTTTAGCAGTCCTAGAACTTGGGTCCAGCTATCAAAAGCTTCTTCACTCCACAGCAACCCTCAGATTGCTTCTGTAGGACATTCTAAAGCTAGAACACAGAACTCAGACTCTGAAATCTGGAGGACACTCTATAGCTGAGCAGTTTTCTAGACTTCTCTTCCCATGGCTTAGGAAAGGGCAAAACGGCCAGTCTAGATTCTGGGGAATTTCTCCCTTATCCTGGGCAAGAGTCAAAGATCATTTGGTACCTGTAGCTCCTTCAGTTTCTTCTGCAGCTGTGAGCCCAAAGCTTGTTCATCTTCAATCCTGCTGTTCTGCTGGTTGATATCAAACTCTTTCCTGCAAAGGGAATTCTGGAAAGTAAACACTTCTCTAGCGCTGGCATCTTTCCCAGGTCCACACGATATCCATCTGACCACTTCCTAACTTACTCAAAAACCATGCTCTGTAGTCCAAGCATCAGCAGCTACAGTGCCCAACTTTTAACCGGCCCAGCAATCTCCACTATATTCTAAATTTCTTTCATAAAACTTTAGACTACAGAGCCCTATGAAACTTGGGTTCCTGGATTCCAGTATCAACTAGCCATTCTCCAGTTTGAAGAAGGAAAAGTTAAGCAACAAAGTCCTTCCCAACCAGTTATGGAAGACATGGCACAGGTTCTGTTGGAGTGGCAGGACCAGCTTCAGTTTCATCCTTATTTTGGAGGCAGATCTGAATGTTCTTGTGCCTTGGGTTTTTCTGTGCTGACCCCCAGATACCCCTGACTGAAGAACCTAAATGCACAGAGTTGACGCTTTCCTTACTTTTTAATTTTTTCTTCCAGCTGTTGTTTATCATTCTCTAAGTCCATAATGTTCTCTTGTGCCAACTTTAAGTCTCCTTCAATCTTCCTCTTTGACCGTTCCAGATCCATCCGGATCTTCCTCTCCTGTTCCAGAGAGCCTTCGAGCTGTTTAGGAAGAGAAGAGAGAGGGGAGGGGAGGGGAGGGGAGGGGAGGGGAGGGGAGGGGAGGAGAGGAGAGGAGAGGAGAGGAGAGGAGAGGAGGAGGAGAGG